CGGGGCGAGGCGGGACGGGCACGGCGGGCTCGGTGCAGCAGGGACGGGACCCGCGCCTTGCGGTGAGGCCGCGGGGCAGAGGCCGCTCCTGAGAGGAGCTGCCGCCTCCCTGGTGGTGGTAGTGCTGTGGGACGGCAAGTCCTCTGTTTAGGGGAGAGTTTCCCCTCCTGTTCTCCCTCTGCCCGCCCAGCACAGTTGCTCGCAGGTGAAGGGGTGGCAGAGGTGTTTATGAGGTGTATTTCGAGGTGCAGTTTTTGTTGCCTTTTCACCCTTTTATATTTTACTTGTTGCGGTGCAAGAGTGACACTGTCTGGAGAGTTTATCTGATGCCTTTGGCACCCAGATACTATCAGAATGCACCGCTGTTTTTTTTTTTTTTTTTAATTATTATTATATTTTTTTTTATGTGTACATTTCATACCCTTTTGTTGCGTTGTTAAATATGATTGAAGTTTTTCATTCTCTACCTGCTGTAAACAGAGTAATTCAATGAAGCCAAAACGAAGCATTTGTTTTAGAGACAGCTGCTAAAATATCTTGGTTAGAATTTTGCAAAATCAGATATTTCTGTATGTAACTGGTTGCTTATACATTTGTTACAATTTAAAGGATTTTTTTGGTTGTAAAACATTTAATCTTAATCTTGAGCAGATATTATTTTCTCTTAATCCAACAGTTTAAGATAGTTCCCACTGTAAATATCTTAGCTAAGGCAGAATTATACAGTCTTTCCTTGGACATCTGAAAAATCCTTTGTGGATTTATAGCTGTAGTCCCTTTTTTTACTACATAAATTGCAACACTATGGGAAGTAGAGGGAGTTTGGTGTTTTGGTGGATTGTTTTGTTTTGGGGAGTGAGGGGCATGTTTAAAGTTGAGCTATTAAGATATTCCTTCTGACCATAACTGCTGTAACAGTTATAGCCCAGGCATTTTATCACCAACAGTGTATAGTCTGGCAAATGACAACAATGTTTAATACACAGGGCTCATGAGGAAGAAAGAAGAAACAAAGTTATTCCAGAAGGAATGGTTAACATTTATATAGGAAAGACTGTTAAAATTACTTCCATATTAAAAAAGATGTGCTGCAGACTTCAAAAAGATTTATCCATTTGTTCAACTGTTTGCAAAATCATACAGAAAAATTTACATGCCTTGGGGCATGTAATACATGCATTATTAATGTTATTTTAAAAAGCTCTTTAACTTCCTTGTTGCCAGATGGGATGAGAGAAGTGTCCTGCACTGCAAATGGCCTCTTGTTCAACATTTATTGCTTGCTAGTCTGGAGTCAGCTTTGGTGGATGAGGAAGGTTGGTGACTCTAAGGTAAGTATTAGAAAGCTGATTTAAAATGCTTGTGTTCCATGTAAAAGGCCTGTGTGACACCTGGAAGTCCTTTGTGTTTGGACACCCTAAAGCACGTAACTGCTTGTTGCTGCAGTCATATTTTTATTAAAAACTGTGAGATTCAAAATTTATTTACAGATCTTTTGAGTAATAAAGATTACTTTTCCAGCCCAGATAATTACTTTGTGTGGTGCAGGACTCATATGGATTTTCTTACGTATATCTCTTGTCTTAATTGTTAAAGTAACTTAGGAAATTAAGCAATTAAATTAATTTGACAAGGTTATTGTTTAATAACCTTACAGAGTGTGTTCATAAGTATAGTATTTGATTTCAATAATTAAAAGTTAGCCCCTTCTAGCAAAGCTAAAACGTACTGTTAAGTGTAATATTAGGATAACCTAGTAAAGTAGAAGTTTTTTTTTAGAATGCAGCTTTCTTTAAATCAAGTATCTGTTGGACTCGATGATCTTGAAGGCCTCTTCCAACCTAGTCATTCTGTGATTCTGTGAAGTACTGGTCTATAGCTGAAACAGTTTCGAGCTTGTAGCTTGGACTGAAGGAGGAGCTTCAGGATACAGTGAGTATGAGGCTGGACTGGCTTTAAAATATTTTTACTTACAGATGTTTGAGAGAATCAAGCGATCTGATGAAGCTTCTGCTTCTTCAGCACAAGGTAAGAAGCTGATAAAATTCAAAGTAGTTTTTGTTGCAGTTACATTAAAAAATGTAATAACTATCAATAGAAGCATTAGTTCACCCTAGAGTTCAGTTGCATACTTTGATTTCTTAGATTTCATTACGGAACTTAGATGGAAGGAGTGACTTCTGAATCATCCACAAAGTTTCCATGTAGGTGTAATTTTCTTGTCCTGTTGTAAGCTGTTTGAGACAACTTTACATTTTATCTCAGTGATCATGGATGTTGCAGTACCAGTGTAGATTGCCTAGTCTTGAACCCTGATAGATTAGTAGAAAAACTCACTCACCTCAGCTATGAAAGAGTAAAGCTTATTTTACGAAGCTGTTGGATGAACTTTGTGGACAAAAGGATCTCTGTGCTTTTTTCGAACTTACTAAACCTTTTCTCTTCCTTTAAAAGTAGTTTTGACAAATGCAGTGTAAGAGAAGTAGCTAGCTGCAGGTAAAAACTCTCCATCTCCTTGATACTCTGTTGGTTTTCGTGTTTTGTATGTGTGTTTGCTTGGTTTATTTCTTGGTTGTTTTTGTTTTCCTGTAGGAATCCAAAGACATGGTGTTGAGGGCTCTCCACGACAAGACAGCAGTAGCAGGTAAGTTAGGTGATGATCTAGCTGGCATCTAGCTTACCGCTAACCAGAGTAAAATTGGAAGAATCTGCTTTTCAGCCTTATCTGTTACTTTGTGTAATGGATGACAGTGGCACAAAATGGATTAATTGTATGATTGGAGGTCCTTTGTATCTTACACCCAGGTACTGTTAAAAACTGTGGGGAAGGCACATTGTAGTGCTCCAAACTACCGTGTGGATGTCAAGTGTTTGTGGTCTTTTTTTCTTTTATTTCAAAATGCTAACAAACAGACAAATGAAAAGATGACTGCCCTTTTCTTTAGAGGCAATTATTTTCAGATTTCAGCTAACTGTGCCTTTAAGCTGTTATCCTTTGTTCTGCATTTAAGGAAGAAGTTCTTTAGTGACATTTGCTTGAGAATACTTTCAAATACATAGTCCCACTTACCATTAAAAAGTCTGAAACAGCAAAATTTATTTTGCAAGTTTTTCCCATCTCTGTAGGAAGATAGATATTTTGAATTTCCATGGTAAGGACATGGATTAAACAATCCAACATAATATTACCTGCTTCTTTCAGTTTACACAGAAGAGGGCAAGAACATCCTCAGCCTGGAGCATCCCCTGCGCAAAATAGACAAGGATACTGCAACTGTTGCCATGTACACTACAGTAATCTGGAACAGGTGAGACAGCTCCTGCATAATTTGGCAGCAGATAGCAGGGAGTAACTAAAGGCCTTATCAACTAATAAATATCAGTTTCTACACCGAACAGCCAATACTGAGTGAAAAATAAGCAGTTTGTGAATTGCACAATACGTGGCCTGAGGAAGATACCTTGCCTATTTTGTTACCTGTTGTAAAAGATGCCAGTGGAGTGGCACAGCTGCTGCAGTCTGCTTTTTCAAAGTGCCACACAGCTCTGCATTGCATCCATTATGGTTTTTTCTCTGTCTTTAATCTTGAGATCTCTATATATTTTAAACTATATGGGTTCTAGTAATATGTCAGATATCAAGGCTGGGGATGTTTGATCAACCATTTTCAGTTCTTTTTTCAGTCTCCTGTCTTATAGACTTTTTAAATTAGGAAGTAGAAGCTTATTTAATCTTCTACACTTAAGAATATTCTTATTAATTAGAGTGAATTATAGGATGTTTGCTCATATGAAGTTCAAGAATATTATAAGTAATTTATAGCTACATTTATAGTATTTGTTCTGGTTAAGAGACTTGTGAGCAGCTGGGAGATTTGTGAGAGTATTTTTACTAGTTAGAAGAGATTTGTCAGCAGCTACCAGAACCACTAATGCAAGTTCTGACTCAGAAAGATGTTTCAATACATTTTAGTATTATTTGAGACTGCCTAAGCATATTTAAAAATCTCAATTAAGATTTTAAAATAGTAAAAGAAGGTTTTTCTGTTTATTTAAATATTTTCATAGCAATGGTGTAATGTTTAACCTGGAAAGGAATTTTTAGGAATAGGCTTGTGTGTTAGCAGTAGCATTAGACTAATCATCTGTTGTATCTTTCACCAGCATATTTTCAGCTCCCAGCACAGACATTTTACAACATACTGTAGGAATCGTATGGGTACCAGTAGCTTGATGGAGCGTTTCCTTCAAGATGTTTTACAGCATCATCCCCACAGATACCATGACAGCAGGTATAATACAGAAGGCTTTTTTTCTAAATATGTGTTAGTGGGAATGCATGTGTTGGGAATTCCTATTTCTGTTCTACTGCTGAGCAGTACATTTGGCCCATTTGAGGTGTCACTTGCTCAGTGAAGACTATTTAGAAAGACATGTATTTATATAAACAGCATGCAAGTATATTGCTTTACTGTTGTCTCTGCACTTTTCAATTCTTTTCACCCCTCATGGATTTGAAATAACACCACTGATAGCTTAGGTGACCAAGAATTCATGCAAGGGCAAAACAGCCCTTCAGATGATAGGCATTGTTTAATTATCTGATGTATTTGATTACTTTGCATTCATGTAGTAATAGTTCTTTTCCAGTGTTTCATTATATGAGATTTCTCTTGCTTAATCAGTCTTGTATATCCCTTAGCTGTATGTAGTCTTAGTTGTATAACCAAGGAAATTGCTGTACTATAAAATTTGTTCACAGTACTTCTGTTAGCTGATGCCTGCCATGTATTAAAATAAGCATCCATTTGGGTCTTGCAAGATCTGGTTATAATTTTTGAGTGAAACACAATATTCTCTTCTTCAGTTATATTTACATATTTTAAAAATTGTTTTCACTGGATTTGCCTGGCTGCTACACATTGTAGCCTTGTGGGTTCCTGTGTTGCATAGGAAAAATAATCCATATCTGTCAGTGTGTTAATTCTGGAAGTCATAAACCCTTGTGTTTGAGGCTGTCTTAGACAGAACTGCTAGATACAGAATACAGAAAAATCTGTTGTCACAGCAAGACTGAACAATCCTTACTTGGCTTCTTACAGGAGTGAGTCAGAAGCTGTGGTATGTCTGTGAGAAACAATAAACATGGAATTCCTTGGCCACATGTGCAGAGTTCCTATCAGGCAGCCATGTTTTTTAGGGAAAAGGTCATTAATACTCAACAATGATTTTATTCCATTTCTCTACAAAAGCTCAATTTTAAGTAATGATAGTATGACCAGTGAAATTATCTCTTTACAGGCTTACCACTTCAAACAAAGGAAGTCTCTTTACTTTTCCTGCTTTGCTGTATTTATAAAATTATTGTAATCTATGTTTGGCCATTCTTAATTGATGATTACATAGAGAGGGTGATAGACTAATGCCCAAATTGTTATCTTTAGCTTTGTGGAGCATATCCCCCTCCATAATTTTAAGAAATTGAATATCTCTGCTAGAGTAGCAGAAACCATAATTTCAGCTTGTTCATTAGAAGTGATGCAGTCTAGGTAATGACTCTTAAAAAACCCCATTTTCAAGCTGTTGTTTGAAAAAATTTTAAGCATATTTACAGTATTTATATAAGGTGTTTTTTCTCCCCTCCCCTTTAGACCAACCTATGATGACATGCCACTTCCCATCACTTTGGAGGCTCCTAGAATTTCTCGCCTGTCCTCGGAAGAGATGCAGAAAAAAAGGAACAGTGAGAAACAGGAGAATTCCAGCAAAGACCAGGAATCCATTCGTGAAATAGGCTCTTCTGTTCCATGCCTGTCTTGTGAGAGCACAAAGAAAATTTCTGTTACACAAGGAGGTTTTCAAAAACTTCAAAGAGGCCGGGAACATGTTCCAGGAATATCCCAGCAGTCTACTGGCATTTGTAGTGATAAGAAGTGGGTAACTCTGAAAAATGCTCGAATTGCAAATCATAGCCATGAAGGTCAGTTTACAGCTGTGAGCACTGTACCTCAGCAGTTTTCTCTCAGTCCTACAAGCCACAGTTCCTCTGTTAATCCTAAAACAGGAAAAGATGTTAGGGATTTGGCAGCATCAAATCTGTTTCCGCGTAGCAGATGTGATGAAAGAGCAATGGAGGTCTGCAATAGCGATGTGTTACTGAATCCACGCTTGAATCCTGCTCCAGCACTGGGTCACCCAAAACGCCCTTCAGTTTCTCATCAGAATCCTACACGCAGCCACAGTAATTCTTCCTTTATTACCTCAGGTCAATCTCTCTCAAAGCGAGATAGTTTACGAACTCAGGATGAAACTTTGGTGTCTGATCTCCGTCTCAGGGATACTGTGGGTATCAGCAGCTCCCTAGATCTTGGGACATCCCCACAACTAGCAAGATGCAAAAATGCAAAGACAGTCAGAGGTGATGAAAGTTCAGTGGATGCAACTATTGAAGATGTAATTTTGAAATACTGCCATGAAACTACATCTGAAGAAATTGATTTCAAAGAAGAGAATAATCCCAGTGTACCTTTTTCATCACTTCTGGACCATACTAATTTAGAGGGCTCTGAAATGAGTTTTGACTGTGATGCACCGATACAGGTAGGAACAGATTTACCCAAGGCAGCTATAAAAGATATAGAATTCCTGAAAGAGGTCCAAGTATGTTTGCAGGATAAAGACTATGGAACACAGCTCTCTTCTGTTTTAAAAACTGAGTCATTAGAGAAAACAGAAGCAGTGAAAAAGGATGTTGTAGTTCATACTGAAGAACCAGTTCTTCCAGCCCTGCCTCACGTGCCTCCTTCTTTTGTGGGAAAAACTTGGTCTCAAATAATGTATGAAGATGATATAAAAATTGAAGAACTTGTGCGTGATTTCAGGGAAGGTCGTTTTCGCTGCTATTTTAACAGTGAATCCTCAGCCAAATGTACAGGGAAGAGAACGAAGAAAAAAAAGCAGAAGGATGAAAAAAGGATCGATATTATTGAGGGTAATAGAACAGAAAGTGCACCAGTTAAAGTGTTGCCAGAATTTAATGATGCTTTAAGTGGTGGCTCTGATTTTGATAACCCATCTTTAGCCTCAGATACACTATGCAACCAACAAATTGTAAAAATGCCTAGGAAAAGGACATGGCGCCTGGCTTCAAGGTGTCAGGTGGTTAAAGTCAGCCATGGCACCCAAACAAGTCTGCTGAACTACCCTGTAGCAAAAAGGAAAATGTCTAGAAGAGAATCTGATCCAGCTGATCAGAAAGCAAGCATTGCGTGGCTGGAGAATGAAAAAACTCCAAACATGAAAACTAGACTATGTGCCCTTAAACTTCCAGAGTCCTATAGCAAGATCATGAGTCCTATACAGCCCAAGACAGTGGTGTATGTGCTCTCATGCCCAGAGGTAAAACAGTGCAAAGGTAAACCTATAGATATTCCCAAAATGAGGAAAAATCATCACTCCACAGATAGCAAGGACTCTGTAAAGTATAAATACAAACAGTGTTCTCTCAAATATTATGACCCACTGACAAATCGAATTCTGAAAACTCCTCCAAAGAGTACAGTTGGAGAGAAGGCCAAAAAGCCCTCTCATGTCCGACAGCTTTTCAGAAGTCTCAGCTTTGATGCAAACATGAAGAAACTAGCTGATACACAGAGAGAAAGCACACCATCAAAGTCACTCAATTGGTCAGATTTTTGTAGTTCTTCAGCATCTTTCCTGCCAGATCGAGATAAAGGGAATGATGCAGCCTCAAGTCAAAAGGCAGATGGACCTTCTGTTTCCACAGAAAGAACAGATTGTCTTGCGTCTGAGAACTCTTTTAAACACCTAATCATTTCACCTTTGAATTCTGTGATAGAAGGTGATTATAGATTAATTCCATTTAATAGAATTACCAAAACTCCTCTGACCTCCATCAGGAGCGAGTGGTTAGAGAGGGAGACTCCAAAAGCACTATGGAAGAGAAAAGAAGGCACTAATAAAGAACCAGTTTTTCCCAGAAAGGCTGCAGGATCTAAGTCTGTCAGATGTACTATTGGGAGGAGAGGAAACAGAGTAACCACAAGCAAACAAACGTCCCGATCTAAAAAACAGCGGAAAGAGGGGATGAGAAGACAACTTCAGCCTTGTGCCCATAAATCTGCTTTCTCCATCCATAGGTGCCAGACAAGAAAAACTACAGTGGGAAAGCACCCTAAGAAAGAAAAGCCTGATGCTAAAAAATTAAAGGTGAGGAGGAAACCAAAAAGGGCTTTTCTGAACTCAACAGTTGTAACAGGGATTCCTGAAAAAAGGCGGAAAGTCGCATCAGAATCTTTTCCCAAGAAACCAGAGCAAGCTTCCTCCAAAGTCAGGAACTGGGAAGTAAGTGGAGATCGGGGTCATCCTGGCACTGTGAACCAGCCCTCTAGAAGGACTTCTGCTGTACCATTACTTCGAAACTGTCTTGTTCTACCAGGTGAGAGCTAGCTACCAAAAGAACTTTTTTTTCTTTTTTTTTTATAGCCAGCACCTGGAAGAAGGAAGGGGAAAAGAAGGAGGTCATAGACAACGCGGTTGAAGTGCTAGAGCTCCGGGAAGTGCTAGAGCTCCAGAAAGTGCAAAGCCAGTCTAATGTGAAACACATACAACTGTAAATTCAGCTCTTGTTCCTGGAATATGGGGACACATGGGGACACAATATATTGCACTGTTCTACTGTGTAAAGCTGCAGAAATTGTGGATTTGATTTAAAAGCACTTAGAATCATATTGACTAGTCTTCACCTGTACATCAGCAAAATGACCTTGAATGGTATCATATTGTTATTATGGTATTATCCATGCATAACAGTGCACTATAATAGGGTAATTTACAAGCTGTGTTAATTAATTGTGCCTATTTTAATTTTTTCACATAATTCTAAAGTGCAGGAGATGACTCAATTGCTATGCTAGAAATTTAATGAAGATACATCAATCGGGGCTGAAATTTATGTATGTATTTTGTTTTTGTGTATATGTGCACCTTCAACACATAATATATACTTGCCTGTGGAATGGCATTAAAAATAATACAGTATGATACAATTCAGATCAATTCAGTGCTTTCTTGAAATGAAATACAATTTTACATGTTTTTCTATTGAATTCTTTGTTTCTGAAACCATGTCCAAAGCATTTTTTTTGGACTAAAAGTCACTGTGGGCTCTCATCAAGCAATAATGGACCATGCTGGTAAGGAAATAATGTCTCCATAGGGGACTGTTCAAATGGTGGTGGCTGAAGTGGAATCTCAAATTCTAAAATAAATAAAGGGTTAGGTTTGGGGGTTTTTGTTTATTTGTTTTTAATAACTTATTAAGTTTATAGGTGAATTTCACACTCCTTAGTGAGGGGGATGGCAAAGTTTTAATGCAAAGAAATAGCAGTAAGTTGTTTCAGAATGTCAGCCTTGAGTTTGGGGTTCTGTGCTTTTCTGTGTTGGTTAAATTTTTATAGACTAGAATAAAAACTTTATTTCTGAATTTTCAGTAAAATACTTAAATAAGCCTAGCACAACATCCATCTAAATGTATTAGAGTTCAAATGTTTGGTTAAAAAACCTGGTTGAATTAACATCATATTCCATAGCGATTCATGTTTGGCCACTGATGTTCCATCTACCATAGTTTTGTGGCAAAAAACCCAAACCCAGGGTGTTTTAGCTTAATTTTCTTTTTTTTTTTTTCAGTTGTTATGATGACAGTTTATTTAATGTGGTTAGGAGACATAGAGCCAGTCTTACAGATGTTTCTGTGCTTTAAAACCCAAGATTAATGGTTCATTCACAGTAAATTAAACACGTAGTTAAACATCATCATAATCCAGGCTTTGGTTTTCAGATCTTCAATTTGATATATTATATAATCTATTTTACTTTGAAGGTCTTCATAAATTCTCTAGTGGTACAATACATTTTTCAGAACACAATTAAAACATGGAAAAGACCAGACCCTGCTGTCTCTGGCATTGAACATATCTGCACATTTTCCCCTCAGAAAACAAAATCCTTCTTGATTCTTCATTCAGTTCTTTCTGAAATGTCAAGGGTCGCAGATTTGGACTGAGATAGACTTAGAAATGGTTTATTTTAATACACAGTATCTGAAGGAAATATAAAAGCTGTCATCATAAACCACATGTTCAGAGAATATTTTGGAGATTTTTTTTTCATGTATATGCATATTTCCCTAGATAAATAAAAGATGTGCATGTGTCAGCTGGAAAGCAAGTTCCTTTATGAGTCAAATGTGGTCTGACGGATTTTTTTTAATTTGTTTTGTTTTAATTTATTTTTTTTTATATAAAGGTTGATTTCTATGGATGAATTTTCCTATTGTTGTCAGTAGACAGAATTGTATGACTGTATTGCAAGTCACTGGAAAATGAAGGGCTATATTATAAAGTCTTATAGCCCTCAACTAATTGTGCCTGTATAATTTAATATTTTGTCTAATATAAAACTGATGTTTTTAAAGCAAAGTTTTAAAGGAATGGTTTTTATAGAAAGGCTAATTTTTAGATAAAGCAAAAGAAGACTTTTAAATAAAGTTTGTTTTAAAGCAAAGCTTTAACTATAGATAAGTCCCATTCTAACATATTTTTATGATACAAGAATGTTTTCCTATCTAACTTCTTCCATCTTATTTTTCACAGTATTTCACATGTGAAGAGCATGAATTTGTGTGTGAATAAGTTTTAATGCACATTGTACTTTAAGAACACTAGTGTATATTTGTTTAGAGTCGAAATACTGTTCTCCATACTCATTCATTGTACATTTGTCTTACTCCAGTGCACAACTTTTCTTTGAAATCTTGAGTAATAAAAATGTGTTGAGGACTATAAAATGACTAATATTTTTAGACTATAATGTCTTTTTTTTGTTGTTTTTGATAATACACCCTCTTATCAGAGTGGGGTTTTTAGAAGAAAAATGTTATATTTAAATAAAAGTGTAAGTAGCCATATATTTTCCTTAAAAAAAAAAGAAAAATAAAAAAAAGTATGAAGTGTAAGAATTTATTAGAAGAATAAGACTTGAGGTAAAAATCTGGAGACATTTCTGTGGTTAACCTTGTCAAAATAAGGTTTACTGTAGGCTTTGATGTTAATCTATGCCTCGCTTTTGAGTGTTTAGAAACCTCTTCTGTGCATGCTCACTGACCACTAGGAAAAAGAAAAAGACTGTGATATGAGAAGTAAATGCAGAAACTGCTTTGGAAGGAATTATGAACATACTTGCAAACCAAAATATTGCAAAAATACTCAATATCATGTGCAAGAAGAAGAAAATTCTGGGGTCTCATGAAATAGGCAAGCACTTCCTGTTAGATAAGTAATACGCTTTCTGCCCTTATGGAATAGAACATTGTTTCATTAGCAGCGTGGCCAATACGTCAAAGCATGATTGTGAAGTCTACACAAATAGCAAACTTGAAAACTGGAATACTTTCTCTCTGAAATTGGTGGGCAGGTTGGTTGTTTTCTGGGTGATGTTTCTTGTTTCTGTTTTTTGGGGTTTTTTTTTTCCTTTTTTCTTTTTTCCTTTTGTGTTTTTTTTGGGGAGGGAGCGGGGACTGTGTTCTTTTAATGTTAGTGGACCAAAATGTTCTGTCAGTATGTTTTCGTGTCTTAATATACAGAAGCAAGAAAAGAGCTGGAGTAGAGAGGAATAAAGTCATGCTTTTTGAATTAGATTGGCCGCAGTTAGAACCAGTACCTTCTTTAATAGTTGAGAAAAATGTTACCATGTCATCTTCAATACATATGCAATTTTGACCTGTAAGTTTGTATTTTTTATTATACATTTCATAATTTTTAAAAAGTCTCTCCACATATAAAGTACTCATTCAACCTTTCAAAACAATCTTATTTTAGGCAGATAGATTTTTATTATTCACTAGTATTGTGAATCATGGGTGTGACCCAGTCATATTGTGCCAGGTGCTAACCAAACATAAAATAGCAATCCCTCAAAACTTTAGATATCTGACTCTTGCACCTCACAGTTCTTCAGTTAATTTTCTGATAGGATTTTTCGCTCTCTTGTTCTTTCTGATGGGTTTGTATCCCGTGTTCTTGTAATTGTGTTATGAAAGTACTCTTCTCTGGGACTCAGATAAATGAGATATTTCTGTTTATTATGAGCCTATGCCTTCATCTGAAGTTGTTTAAGTTTCATGCTAAATTTCTGCCCAAATGAGAATTTGTTTTGTGGTTTTCATATTCTTGTTATTGATAATGTATTTTGCATAATTTTGCTTGATGTTGTAATTTTTTTATCTGCTTCTCTATCTCTTCTGCCTGCGGTCATTTGACATGATGTGGTTTTGTAAGGATGCAGCGCTACTACAGACTCATCCAGTGCTGTTGCTGGATATTCTTTCTCTGTTGTATCTTTTGCTCATTTTATTTCAGATTTATTGTTTTCATTGTTTTTCTCAGTCCTGTTTTTGGATTTCTTTTTTTATATTGTAAATTGCTAAATTTCAGGGCAGTATGCTCTGTTTGGAAGTAAATCAGTGTCAGGTGTCAGAAGAGGACATTGTCCCAGTCTGAAGTGCTGAGAGCAGGTTGGCACAGGTGCTCCTGTGCTTGGGAGTCTGCTTTACTTCACTGAATAGTGTGAAACAGGAGTGGAAAGATAATTCTTGATTCCTTTGCCAGTGTTCCTTTCTTTTTCCCTTAGGGTCATTCTGCCTGAGAACAAGCTGAACTCATACTGGAAATAAATGTTTTTTCAGCTTTTGGTGTTTTGGGGAAAGATAGGAAAAGTAAAATATATCTCTCTCACTAACGTAACTAAAATCACTGAATTTTTGCCTTTAATGTTTTATCTGATGAATTAGAGCATTCCTGATAATATTTTTTAGAAAAATTTGTAATAGCATAGTTCTGAGCATGCCCAGAAGCAAAGGTTTTGTTCCTTGTTTATTTTGCAGTAATAAATTCATTCATTCATTCAGCAGAACAAATCTTGTTTTAATAAAATAAAAACTGAATATGTGCTTTTGGAGTTTCTTTATTCTGGAAGCTTTATTACATTGGAGCTGTTTGCTATAATTTGTTGTGGAAAGAACACCACAGAATGCTATGGAATAAGCAGAATGAAGGCAGACAGTCATAATTTAAACAACTCTTCACAATGGTGTGATATCTTGACTCAGAGATGCCAAGATTTATCCTATTCTGTGCCAGCTGAAGCAGTGACACCCTAGGATGGCATTGAAAAGATGATAGATACATTTAAAATGTCTAACTTCATTTTGGCAGCATGAAACCAAGAAGCCCCAGCCACATGACAAGCCAGATCTTTGCAGAGCTTACTCATTAAGAGGTTTTTGAGCATGTGCACTTACTATATGAGGGCAGGGGCTGGAAGTATTATAGTCTTAAGCAGCTTTCTACTTTATGCAAAAGTTTGGCATCTGTAATCATAGATGGAATTAATGCAGGCAGAACTCCCTTCAAAGCTGTGTGCAACAATACTTAAGGGTGTGGTAAACAGATTACTGGAATTACTTGAGCGGTATAATACCTTGTTCTATAAATTTGGTAGTCATTTGCTGCTTGTAGCAGTGCCTGTTTAAACCAGTGTGATCTTTTGCAGGAGCAGCGCAAGCAGATGCGTCAGATCAGTAAATGGCTGAGAGGCAGTGGCACGTGCTTTCCTGAGGCTTTAGTAAGTCATAAAATTTCAGGACACGCTTCGCAATTTTCAGTCCAAACTTGAAAATAGCCATGGATTATATAGTTGGCCAAATGAAGTTAACACTGTGCTATCAAATAATGATTAACTAAAGATGTAATTGTTCAGCCATCTAAACATGGAGTTACAAACATAACCAAAGTTTAAGTCAGGTGATTGGTCTTTCATGGGAAATAAAAGCCATTAACAATATGGTTATAGAGTGTATAAGGGAGATCTAGTTCAAAGTGGTGTCTTTGGGAGTTATGATGGAATTAATAGCATAGTTTTGTTGGCTTGGGATACACTGGAGTAATTAGTGTTATAATTATTGTGTTTTGATGATTCTGGAAGTCATAATTATTTTCTTAGAGTGCAGAAGCATTTCTTATGAAACGTACGAACACATCATTATTGCAGTTTGTGATTTAACAGTTTCAGCATTTCTAAACTTAGATTCTTTTTTATCAGTGTTCTGCTCTTAAGGAAAACTGAAAAATAGCTTTTCCCAAATATGGGGATTCATAAACAGGCTTTTCAGTATCGCGCGTCCTCAAATATAATTGCACTTTAATGTTTTAAGTCTGGTCAGCTTTTTATATTTGCTGTGTCACACTGCATTAATGTTGGTACTGGTGCATCTGAAAATGTTGATTATAGCTTACTGAGTTATGATTGATATTGTGCAAAAAAGTTGCAGAATCAAAATACACCCTTGCTAGCCCATGCAGAGAGCTTAAATACTGTGCTGGCCTGGAGATTGTGCTGTAAGAATGAACAGAGAAGCTGAAGGCAGAGTCCTTGGCATGTGTTCCATCCCGTGTGGTTGCAATGACTTTTTTTTTTATTACACTGACATTTTAAGATGAAGAAGGATGTAGAAGTGATGCATAAGCCTTAAATATGTATTTTAGATTGGAACCAATGAATATTCAGCTTTGGGGGTTTTGTTTGGTTTTGGTTTTTTAATGTTTATCTGAACCTTGGGAACCAGTTTTCAAAATCCATCTACTCCTGTAGTGATGCAGCTCAGCAATCTTCTGGTATGTTACTTTTATTTGTTGCATGCATAGATAATACTTTTAGTGCTGCTTGTTTTATACTTTCAGCCACTGGTAAGGGGGGAGAAATATTTACTACAAGGATTGTGCGTGTACATCTGTTCGAAGGCTAAAGAGAAAAGTTGTAAGTCAGTACATGGCTACCAACAGATTTCTCCACATGCCAAAAGGAGCTCTGTTAAAATTCAGGTGTAATGATGAGCAATAAATCAGTTGCCCAAATGATGATACAAACACTTTTCATTTTATTGGCATTAGATGCAATCTGCATGTAATTAAAAATAAACATACTGACTTTTTGGTGGTGACAGTTATTTTATGGATTTCTAAATGTGTCTAGTGCTTTAATTTTTCGATCTGTTCTAGCAAATTATCATTTCCTGAGTTATTGCCAACACACTCTAGTTCTGATTGAATTTGGAGTCGGGGTAATAATGGAGTCAAAGTCAGCATGTTTTTACCTACCACAATTAGTTACTGTTCATACAGCACTTTCTGTGGATGTAAAGAACTCTTAAGTGTCTAATATTATCAAGAATTATCTTTATATTATTCTTATTTTGGACATTAGTGTTAAATGTATTTTTAAAAATGCATGGATACATTTATATTATTGTGAATATAAATGTGTATTTGTTATTAACAAGCACAGTATTTTTTTAGAGCTCAAAGGAGAGCACTAATGAAATAGTATTTTAGGTAATTTTATTTCCAATTATACAGAGACTATTCACTTTTTCTGTGCTTAGCAAATTTCTATTTTTCCTCCCTCACACTCCACCATTTTAAAATAAGAATTCATCTGCAATGCAGAGTTCTCCATCTTTATTTGCTCAGAGTAGGGTGTGATGAGTGTCATTCAGATGTATCACAAAGATGGTTTTATGTAATTATGTAGTTATTGCATATGCCTTTATGAATACCTCTGCCTTTTCATTGAGTAAAGGGGAGCCAAGCATCCCTGTTTGGTTCTCATCCTTTTGTCTAATTTTATTGCCCACCCCATCCTTCTCGAGCTCCCTATGCAGCCAGTGGGTCAGCTCCCCTCTTTTCCTTTATTTATTGCGCTCTACAGTATGTTGGAAAACAACCATTTTTAATT